TAAACAGATATAGGTTTGTAATATTTCCAAAAGTACTCCATTGATTGCATTCTTAACAGGGGAAGTATCAGATAGCAACAGCAGTGACTCGGAAGTTGACCTCGATGAAGAATTCGACGATGGCCTTGACGAAAACATGATAGGAGATGAAGAGGACAGAGCACGTCTTGAACAGATGACAGAGAAGGAGCGTGAGCAAGAAATCTACAACCGTATTGAGAAGAGAGAAGTTCTGCGCACTAGGTTTGAAATCGAGAAAAAGTTGAAGTTGGCCAAAAAGAAGGACCAGCAGAAGAGAAAGGAGAAGGAAGGAGACAAACCAAAAGTAAATGCTCCCAGCCTTGAAATGGTTTTCTTTGAAGTCATAATTGATTTGGAAATATGAATGTTATCGTTATTTTTTATTTATTATTATGATTTTTTTTTTTTTTTTTTTTTTTTTTTTTTTTTTTTTTCACATACTGTAAATTTATCATTTCATCACAGGAGAAGAAGCAGCCAGTTTTGACTGACAGAAAGAAAACCCTAGAGGAGAGAGCAGGAAAGACGGACAAATTTGCTGCTCTGAAGGCAAAACGAGAAAATAAAATCAGATTAGGTAACAAAAAAAAAAAAAAGTTTTAATCCTGATATCAAAAATTATATGATCTGTTATTTATTTAATTTGGAATTATGTCTACATGTCCGTATTTTTAGATTGATTTATTTTTATTTTTTTATCACTGGGAAAAATAACACTGTTTTTTTCATTCCAGCTGAGGAAGAGAGACTTAAGAAAGAGAAACAGGAGGAGGAAAAGAGAAGAAAAAAAGAGGAGAAGGAGCGGTCAGCTGAATCCGATTCGGATGCAGAAGACAGCAAGGCAAAGCACAAACTTAAGGTTGGTTGGCAGAATTTTTAAATAACGATGTAGAAATCATGTAACTATAGGCAGGATAGATATTTTATAAGACCAAGGATTTATTGGAAAACAAATTCCGTTAAAGATAGTAATTATTCTCAACAGGCATCTGAAGTTTATAGCGACTCAGATGACAGTGGATCTGATAGCGATAAGTCAACAAAGTCTGAAAAATCCACGAGACGGCGCTCCTCGTCATCCTCCTCTTCGTCATCCTCGGGTAGTGATAGTGATTCTGGCAGGTAAGAGACAGCAGTGCAGTATTTTACAGCTCGGGTTTTTTATAGTAAATCTGTGGCATTCAAGGAGAGTTATTTGGCTGCGGGCTCTCACTACTCGTAGAAAAAAAAATTCTAGTAGCTTTTAACCCATGTTTAAAAGCACAAAGCATCTTTGTACATCTCTTGAATTTACAACAGCATTGTACTTTGTTTTAATTTTCAAAAGCTTTTTCTTGCATTGGCTTTTTAGTTATGATATTGAGTTTTTGAGACCTAATGAGGGACTCAGATATTTTTTAATTTAGTTTATTAGGTTTCTATATATTACTAGTAATCATATCAGCCAAAAATCACAGATTCCTTTGATACATGATCTTGCAATTTGTGATAGTTCTTTGATATAATCCAATATCATTCTCATTGTAGAAATTTTCCTTTATATATGAAGTGGAAACAAAGTGTGTAGGTAGGATATCTTATGGTAATGATTCTATCTTATTGTAATCATATGTCAATGGATGCATTAACCCGTTGGATCCAGTTGTGTCCCGGAAATCACGGTGCCAAAAACACAGGCTGTAGGTTACATAAGTAGCCAACATCCCGGGTGTGCAGCACTTAGGCCAGGCGCACACGAACACCCATGAGTGGTGACATGACTCTGCCTCTCCTTTGGAAAGTTTTGTGTAAATTGTTTTAGCTTTATCGCCATTTTCCAATGATCATATTTGCCTTTCGATTTGCTTTATCCAGATGGTAATAGCACGGACTCCATATCATCTTACGCAGGTTGCATTCCATATTCATTTATTGATGGGAATAATGCTAAAGTCCCCTTCTAAGCGCCAAATGAGTCAAATCACCCTCCAAGAGGTTTGTGCACTTGTGGCCAGTCTTTTCCGTCACCTTGGCCTTCGATCATGACAGCAAGTTCATGTCACACGGCCATTTTGCCCAATGACGGCATGTTCACTTCACCCAGCCCCGACCCAGATTTTTCCATGACGGGACCATAATGTCATCCAGTTCGTAGGGGTTAATTGCACAGTATTTTTTCCATATTGCCAGCTACTGCCACTAAGAGTGTCATATTTTACACCATTCTCTTAACCCATAGATGCTAGGAGTACTTGTGTACTTTTTTTTTTTTTTTTTTTTTTTTTTTTTTTTTTTTTTCTTCTTTCTATTTTTCCATATGGTAGATGACTTCGGAAGGCTTAGTCCCCAAGTAGTCAGTTACTAGGCATACCCTAAAAGCTTCTTCCATTCAATTCAAGGAATGGGCTAAATGGGAGATGAAATAGACCCAGTCATTTCCTCTGTGGTGACTAAGTGCTTCGGGAGTCAACTGTGTGTAAACAAAAATATTATAAAAAAA